CTCATGACTTGCTAATATGTTGTAGCCATGGCATTAGAAAGAAGATTGTTCACCAAGGAATTCTCCGACCCAACCAATCCACGAAGGTCCCGTTGTCCTCATCGCAAAGCATGGACAGCACGGTCACGATACCTTGGGTGCTCTCTTCCACAGATATATCCGCCTGTCACAAAGAAAGATCTCCTAAGCCTGAGATCCTTACCAAAGGTTATCGGCTAAATGATATCCAATCTCTTCACCCTAAGGCTTCAGGTCCATGTCAGAGATGAAATTCCATGACACGTAAACTCATTGTAAACTGGACAGCCCCATAATAGTGAATCTGTATGAACATAGCCCCTATGATTAGGTGACCATGTAAATCCATACATTTGGGTGAATTGAGTATATTCTGGTAATCTCAGGTCAGCACAACCACTGAATCAGCCAATGGATGGGGCAACATCTGTCCCCAAGGTCTCCGACAATCCCACCACCTTCCATTTTTGTCCTGTTGGCTGTTCATATTTTGCTATTTCTACTATACCTAAAGCTTCACTGTGTAATTTTGCCTTAGGATGTAATTTACCCAATTCTCCTTGTAATTTGCCAATTATGTTTTCAGAATTAGTATATTGTGCTTTTCTAGCAATAAGAAAGAAAACAAATTTTATCATCATCTGTGTCCCTTGCTTTAAAATCTTGATGGCAATGAGAGGGATCGAATCTTGGCCAATCAAGACACAAGGATAAACTTCTCAGTAGAAATAATGTTCTGAATGTAGAAAATCTCTTAAGGATCTCTGAGTGGCAGAGACTGCATGAAAGAAAATTGGGAAGAGATTAGACAGATTTCCTTGAGAGAAAAATGGGAATGAAGGTGCGTTCAGCTTGCTTGGTTAAGTGGCCTTTCTCCCTCAGCTTTACATATAACATGACTTTTTAATTCAATCTGTATGATTACCACTGTTTGCTTAACAGACATGGAACATTTATGTGTTTGCATTTGTATATTGTCCCAATTATGAAGAGATTAAACAAAATGCTAAACACCCAAATAATTAGATCACCCAAGCTTTCAGGGCACTCATTGTTAGGTCATGCATATTTATGTGTGTTCATATATGAATGAGTTTTTCTTTCTCTTGGGTTAAAATACTTACATCCCTTTCAGACGTTTTCACCCTGCCAGGATGGATGGCTACACACAGAATCCCGTGGGCTGAATAGTCAAGTGACTGGCATTTGGTGAGCATGTTCAAAGCAGCCTGTTGGCGACAAACAACCATGATGAGCAGGGAATGTATTAAAGACGCAATAGAAGAAAGAATGATGATAAAGTGATCAAATATTAGGCACAATAGGGCGAGAGAAGTGAGAAGCGCCCCCAATCCCAATTTCCTCTAAGAAATGTCTTTATGTCTTGAGGTAATAGGAACTGCAAGGAAGCAGAAATGAAATATCAAGGTTGCAACAGCCATTCCAAAATCCACTTTGGTTATTTCCCAGAAAATGGGGAGGATGATAGCAACATGCTATCAAAGAAACATATACACTATCTTATTTATTATATTTTCTGGGCCTAGTCACTAATCCTCTTATATTTGGCTTTTGCGCACCTCTAGAGGACGTGGAGGACTGGAAGGCTGGATAAACCATTTTCAACCTCTGTCAAAGCCTTCAGCCCGCCGCAACATTTAGGATGTCTATATTTGGGATCGTGGTGGCCTGCCATTTCACCTTTACTATCTCTCATCGGAGTCCCACCCAGGTGAAAATGTCTGCCACGCTATTTTTAGCAGGTTGCCCAAGCTGTCAAACTAAACT